CCAGTCAAGACTCGATCCTATTCTCGTAAAAACAGTTGGTTTAGGATAATCGTCGCATTTATTTACGCTCGGAATAATTCCTATAATACAACATACATATATATTTTGTTACTATTATATTTCTTTAACTTTAAGAATTAATAATTTATCTTTCAATAAAATACATTTTTTAAACTCAATTTTTATATTACTATTAAATAAATATATTTTTATTAGTATAATAAATTTGATGTAATCACTTTTAAATATTAAACAGTTTTAATTTTACAAATGATCATATTTACCAATAAGATCATAAATTCCGGCATATGATCGATATTGCACAGAAGATCCGACGTCATTCTATAAATATGCAACATTATTATGATACATAATTATAAATGATATGTAATGATAAATTCTTTGTTTTCAAATCAAGTTAGATAATATTGCTTTCATTTAAATTTATAAAAAATTTTTTTAAGTTCAAAACTTTTGTAAATTTTAGATATTATTATATATTGTATTATATATTGCGCTGTATTTTAAAATCATAATGTGACATGTATTCACTTACTTCGCACACCAAAGAATTTGTACCCACAATTCCAATGCATCCGTAATCATCGTGTAAGTTTATTGCATTTATTCCTGATTTAATACACTCTTTTTGTCCTAGAATAGGAAGTCCTAATTTTCGAGGCCTACATGTCGCATTATCAGCCTGATCTTTATGCTTGGTCCATCCTACCAAAGTTCCAACTTGACCAAGATAAGTTGATCCTGGAATTCAGAAAAGATTTAGTTATATAATCTTATATCTTATCCTCATATTTATTAGATGTTAATAGATGTATTATATTACGAATCATAAAAAAAAACAAACCTGGATTGGGTAAGCATATTGGTGATATTCTCTTCTCGAATTTAGTTGGTCGACTCAAACGAATTAAAGCTAGATCATGAGTACTCGACTCTAGATTGAATTCTGGATGCAAAATTATAGATTCGACGCTAATGTTTACTGATGAGATATCTAAGTTACATCGATCATATTCTCCCAAGGATGTTTTTATTTCATGTGCTGTTGCTCTGCCGAGAAAAATATTAATTATACATTATATCCTACAATTAATCTTCTCTACTATTACTAACTGTAATAATGCTGAATTTCACTCTGTACTAACCCGATAAGTTGACTAGCTGCTGTTAAGATATAACGATCATTTATCAATACTCCACTCACTAGCAATTTGGACTTTATGTGAATATTTGCGAGCCATGGAAATTCATGCGATTCTGTATGTTCACCACCCAATAATCGCGCTACCTTACGATTTGGTCGACCACATACTACAGATGTATAAAAAATATTTTATATCGAATATATATAAAAAATTTGATCAAAGAAAAAAAAATGTATAAGAAATATTTTAAGAAAATTATTATATGTATGTATTAGGTGTTGGAATTAATTCGTAGCGTTTTTTAATGAAAGAATGTTATTTATTTCACATGAGCATTAAAAAATACATTAATGAAAGTACTTCCCATCACTTGTAAAACGCTACGAATTAATTCCAACACCTAATACATATATGTATATATTTATAGAAGCATATATAGTTAAAGAAAAACGTATTTAAAAAAAATAAAATACATAATACTTAACACACAAAAGTAGTAATAACACAATAGGGAATCTTACTGATATCTGTTACATTCTACAGTTAAAATACTGACTGTTGTAATACTTATACATTTTTTATGTTTTAAATAATGTGTATTACTTAATTAATATATATAGTTAGCACAGCTCAACCATTTCATTTTGTCAAAGATTAAAAAAAAATATGATATGAATTGCGTATCATGAAGTTTCCTCATAAATGCGGGCGAACATGAACGTTTCTTGTTAAACATAATAAACTGTTATAAATGATTATTATACAATTCCTGAGAAAATATAATTATAATCTTAAAATATATTTGACATGTCTTGTATGATAAAAAATAGATAAAAAGTAATTTAGAGAATAATAGTTAAGTTTATATTTATAAATTGTAACAAGAATCAGTAAATTTAATAATGTACTAGAATTGTTTTTCTTCTTTTGTTACTATTTAAATAATAGGCATTGCTTATTATAATATCAATAATTTAGTTATTTGTAATAAATTATTTACATATTAAGTATAGAATTAGTTTAGATTTTAAATTTTCTTTTTGCTTATTTCACGTTATTTAATAGTTATACATTTGTATCGTAATGTTACTTACAGCAACCACCACAGGTCCGGAATCTTCCAAAAAGAAGATCGAAAACACCGCGTTCATGTCTTATTTTAATCTGATCATCAACCTATTCAACGAATACATTCGTAAACTTTTATACATTTATAATTTTTTTTAGCTGTAATTCAAGTAATAATTTTTAATGTTTAAGTGTTTTTTAAATTAAAAATGTAGAAAGAAATGTACATAATTTTATGCAAAATAGAATTTAATATATTATTATGATTAAAACATTTTTTGCGTATATATATATATATGTTAAATATACGCAATTTATGGAAATACATAAAAAATTATAAAACTAGTACACTATAATAAAAATTAACACGGCAAAATTGATGTGCTGAAGCTTACAGTAGCATCGACGCATCCATTGCAATCAATTCTTCCAAAATTCACCAACAAGATACAAATGAGGTATCTGATATAGACTTGCAGCTTCATGACTTTTCTGTCGGTAGTCGAGGCGATACTGGTCTCACTTAAATGACTGGTTTGTGTTGTATAGCGGGACTATCATCGCCCGCATCCTGGGATACTTTCAAGAATGTAAATTGAATATAACCCATACATTTTACGTTTGCGCTGAAGTTCGTATTTTTTTCTATCGTTGTATTTATTTTATTTTTTATATTTTATTTTTATATTTTATTTTATATTTTATTTTAGCCTGGAAGGTAGATGACTAACCGGTTTGTCAATCCCGTTACACATTTCTCAGGCATTGCAGTCAATATATCAACGAAATTCGTTTGATGTCTTTGATATTTTTGATATTTAAAAATTTGTGAAATACATTTTTTAGCAAAGAATAAATAATGGAAATCTACAACATTTATAATAATTTTGATCACTGTTTCATTTTATGTACTGTTTTGTTAAAGTTGTTTATTATAAATATATATATATATATATAATATATATATATATATATAGCTGATATTGTAAAAAATGTCTTTTTTGCACATATTGTAAAAACTCAAAAAATATTGGAAGTCAGAAATATCAAATACGTATTTATTTTGATAATATGTGCATTATGTAAAACATTTTTCTGTAAAATGATTAATGTATAAAATGTATATGTTGCATATATCTCTTATGATTGCATATCATAAGATGAAAATTATCACAGTCTTAATTTAAAAAAATATTTGTATTTTTTCTATATTATTTTCTATATTATTTTCTATATTATTTATTCAAAAAGTTTCCAAAATCAATAGAATATAATAATGTAAAACTTAAAATATAAAGATATAAAATTTCAGATGAATTATATTTAAATTATATTTGAAAAATATGTTAAAGGACATTTAAAGCTAATTAATGCATTTATTACATTTTTGTATCGCATATTATAATAAAATATTTCCTATAAAAAGATATAACATTAGCTTAAGTCTAATCTCAATCTCACTATAGTCAATTTTCTCGGCAACAGAATTGAGTATTTTAACCTTTGGTTATATTTTAGCAGTTCTAAAAAAAATTGTACGTAAATATTGTACAATATAATATTATTTTTGTAAACATGTTATAATATAACAAATGCTGGACATGTCATATCTATTCATAATTTCATAATATCTATTTATTTATTTATTGCCGCTATAAGTAGATGTAAACAGAGAGAGAGAGAGAGAGAGAGAGAGAGAGAGAGAGAGAGAGAGAGATAACAAAAAATCTAACAGATAAAACTTGAAAATAATATTATTCAAAAATTCATATTTTTTGAGCAATTTAAGTACATCAGTTTCACATCTAGTACATCACTCTAAATCTGCTAATATAAATTATAAAAAAAAAATACATAAAAGAGTTACGAGTCAAGCTGGATGTTAATTATTTGAATCCATTATCTAGTTCCTTATTTTAAGTTACGCGGGCACCAAAACATGTGTTATATTAATAATTTTTTACATAATTGTAAAAAAACAGACGCAAACATTTTTTTAACGAATTATTTTATAATTATCTATCACATTGAGAATGATCCGATAATAGATCGAAACTGTTTGTGTTTATTATTAAAAAAATTAAATTAAATTAATTAGCTGTTGCTATAAATAAAAAATAAAAAATAAAAAAAAATAAAAAGACTACTAGACAAACAGTTATTTTGATCCGTTATCGGGTCATTCTCAATGTGATAGATAATTACAAAATTTTTTAAACATTTTATCTGTCACATTGAGAATGACCCGATAACGAGTCGAAATTGTGTTTATTATTTCATGATTACATTTGATTAGTTAGCAACAAATCTGGCTCGTAGCTCTTTAATTGTTTATCTATTGTACTATAATTTTAATTATTTGAGCCCGTTTCTATTTTTTTATTTTAAGTTATGCGGACACTAGCATGCGTTATATTAATAATTTTTTTAATAATTGTAAAAAGCAGACGAAAAAATTTTTTTAATGAATTATTTCTTCATTATTTAATTTAATTATCTGTCACATTGAGAATGACCCGATAATGGGTTTATTCTTAAAGTTAATCTTTAATTAATAATAAACACAAAGAAACTCATTATCAAACAATTCATTAAATCAAACAATAAATTTGATTGAGAATTGAAACGCAGTTGTTCGTGCTATAAATTTATATTTAAATTAAAATATATAAACGAATGTTCAGCTTTGAGTTAGCGACGAACATTCAATTTAGTTTGTAGCCCTTTTATTGTTTATCTATTTTAATTTTAATTATTTAAGCCCGTTATCTATTTTCTTATATAAAAAAAAATTAAGACAAAAATATTATACATATCCTGAGAACAGAGCACGAGAATTTAAAGAACTTATATATACAATAGTAAAGTCATTTGTCATTTGTCCCTTTTTATGTTTACGATTAACAATCGCTGGATTATAATCAATTATGTTCACAGAAACAGCCATCCTTTGAATGTTTCAAAATCCAATCCATATATCGTGTAACTCTTGTATATACACCTGGGTAACCAGGTCTTGCGCATCCATTACCCCAGGACACCACACCGATAAGTTCGTATTTTTTATCTTCTCGCTCCGTTATTAGAGGACCACCACTATCTCCCTATAATACAAAAGATTCCTTATTATTCGCACACGGAATTCAATCCAGTCATATTCAATGTAATAAAATGAGCTTAAGTTATAGTTATATGTATTAATATACTGCGTGTATTAATAATTAATATGTACTACACTAATATATTGTAAGATACATTTTGCAATGTATGTTTTTCAAAATTCTTTTATTTACTATTACAATTTTCTATTTTTAATTTACACATATACAAATAAGTATATATTACCTGACATGAATCTTTTTGTCCTTCAAGATAACCTGCGCATAGCATATTTTCTGAAATCATTCGGGCACTGTAGCTGGTATTGCGACAAGCTTGAAGACTCATGACTGGAACTTCTACTTCTTGAAGAAGGCAGGACGGTTTGCCATCCTCTTTCAATGTACCCCAACCTGACACAATTGCTTTTGCCTCTACATATTCGTTATCTAAAAAATAATTCTACAATATGTATTATGACCAATAATTACTTAAAGCGACTAATTGCAATAATAATTTTATGGAAAGAATTAGTAAAATATTGTTTTTATCATTTTTTAAAAATAATTTTGTTTAAATTTAAATGTACATATTTAATAATATCACAATGTATGAACATAAATCTGATGAAAAGAATTTCAGTAGTAATCAACTTTCTACTAAAAAAAATATAAAAAGCGGAAATCGCTAAAAGAAAGTTAAGAGGTTTTCGAGTATAAATATATTATATGTATATTATTAATGCAAATACATTATAATGCCGGTAAGCAGGGCAGGTAAGTGTACCATGTCATGCTGCGTTAACAAATTCAGAAAAAGATGATTGCGTGCATTCGAAATGCAAATTCAAGTCCTCGATTTCAGAGAAATCTTCATTATTACGCAGTTATTTGTGCGACGCGACAGTACATTTCAATTGAGAGTAGGTACCCGTATATTGACTAATTTATGACTTTTCTATTACGTAATCGTCGCATAATAAACATGATTGCTAATCGTAGGTCGCTATATCCAATATTATGCATTTTACAAAAATGCACTGACCAAAATTAATCGTGATTGAATGCTATTGTAACATCGTCTAAGCATGAAATTGTAATACGCTTTGAAAGTAGATATCAATAATGCATTTGACGTGTTAAATTAAGATTATACAATAATTGCGTGTCTCGAATAAAAAACTTATTATCAATTTATCCGTCAAACATAGAAAATTAAAGCATATTATAGTACGTCAAGAAATTTCAATATATTGTCATTATTATTATTATTATTAATTTTATAACAATATATGTATTGTTATAATTTTAATTATGATAAAAATTGTATATTTAATATTATTTTTATTATTATTTATTGCGTCTTTGTAAAGAGAAAATAAATACACTTGCATAGTAACAATCTATCTTTATAAAAATATTTTCGTCAGATTATTATTATTATCATTTTATTATACTTTCATAAAAAAAAATAAAAATACACTTACCTAACATTGTAGGTAAACATATCGGCCGTATCGTATCGCTCAACGGCACTCTTTCATTAAGACGAAGCAGCGCGATATCATTTTCAAAATTCAGAAAGCTGAAGTCACCAGTCATAACGCGCACTACGTATCTAGTTTCCGGTGATTTCTCGACACATCTATCATGCTCTCCGAAAGTAACTCTGATCATGAACCACATGAATCTGAAAATAAAACTAGAAGAACTGATCACATTCGCCTGGCGAATAAGTTTGCAATGGAGGAACTTTAAATAAAATAAATGAACTCTACAGAAAATATCTTCCAATTTAATATATTTAATAATAATTCAATTTTTTTGTACATTGACTCAATCATGTGTTCTAGAATTTCTATATTAGTAATATGAAATTTCAATTATATTTTAATCGATTCTTTAAAAAGGTTGTTACATTACTAATAAATTTGTAATTCTATGTATATAATTTACAAATAGCTCGTAAATTATGTTATTAAAGAAAAATATGCATCGAAGATAATGTATTCAATAAATATTAATTGAGCAAAAGATACTTCAAAATCTTACGTTTAAATGTTAATTTCTTATTTTCATATTTATTGTATATTGAATGAGTAAACTTTTTAAACAATGTTTACATAACGTTTCTGTTGTTTTATTTACATAATAATTTATGCTATTCATTTTGTTAAGATAAATACATGTAAACAAGCAACTTTAAGGTAACAGATTCTTCATATTGCTCTATTTGCAAGTAACTAAAAATTATAATCGTCAACACTGAAATAATTTATCATTCCTTCATGTCAACATAGAAGAGCTAACGGCACTAAAAGTTTTCCTTGTAGCACGACATTAATCAAGGATGCAAATATGAAGTTTGACCCGTTTGCGTGTTGAGTAGATGATGCCAATAGTACGATTAGTAGTTAGTATTTTATACAGTTATTCTAAGGCTTGTTTTCACAATATATGATTACCTTAAGATTAAAGATTACCAAGAGATTTATCAATAAAATTCATTCATTAATTTCTTGATAATCCTTAATTTTTAGGTAATCATGTATTATAAAAACGGGTCTAATTCATAGAAATATTCTAAAAGAGTATTCACTTCTAATTTTATTTATAACAATAAAACAAATTAGATAAACCTTTTAAGATTTGTGATTATTATTATTGATTATTTCTTTTGGCTAAATTTTTTATTTCTGTGTGTATGTGTGTGTTTTGTTATATTATATATTAGGTGTTGGAATTAATTCGTAGCGTTTTTTAATGAAAGAATGTTATTTATTTCACATGAGCATTAAAAAATACATTAATGAAAGTACTTCCCATCACTTGTAAAACGCTACGAATTAATTCCAACACCTAATATTATTAATAAAATCTACTGGAATTGTAGATATGTTTTAGTAAAAATAGTAATATATTGACAAAAATTTTTATAAAATATTTAAAAACAAAAATTAGAATTAAGATCCAATTTTAATATTAACATCAACTCTGATTCTACTAGATGCACAATTTATAAACCATACCTACCCCTTCATACAATGTGCGGCTGTGAGAACGTAACGATCATTTATAAGTGTACCACCGCAGTAAAATTTGTTTAGATACGATAATCTAGCCATCCATGGAAACTCATTCATACTCGTCGTTTGACCTCCAACTATACGACTTTCTTCATTCCGTAATCCACAACCTAGTTGTAACAATTGAAATGTAGTACACGTTTTCTACGTTGTTTTTTATGTTTAATAAAGTTTTTTATGTTTAAAAGTAAAACTTAACAAAAAAAGGAATATTGAAGTACGTACTACAGTAGCAGGGCGCAGGTGATTCAGTGGAATAAGGTGGCTTATTACCAAAAACTCCAAAGAAATACTTTATCTTCTCATCAAACATTTCGGCCTAAAATAAAAATAATTACATTAATTAATGATCTATGTACTTCCCATACAGGCATTTAAATGACATTCTAAAGACGTTCAGAAGATAAGAAAATTAATTAATAATTTTATTTAATTTGTAAATTTTAGATATAAATAGGTAGACATAAGATGTATAACTTTTAATTACAGATTATTCTTATAAAAAAAGATAAATAGAAATAAATTTAAAATTATTCTTGTAATTTTTTATCACGCATACATTTCTTTTACTTCGATAAGTTATTAAAATGGTTTAAATTATATGTTTGTATCTTGTCAAACATACCTCTTAATTGTAATTGTTTTTTAATAACTCCTAAATTGACACCTAAATTTACTTTACTTTTGTTTTATATTAAAAATCAATATAATTAAAATTAAGATTATAAAAACTAAAAAATTCAAACATATATCTCAGAAAATATTTTAACGATTTTTTAAGAGACATATACATAGTATACCATGTAAAGAAATCAATTATATATATTATTCATAAATGCAACTCTTACCTGACACTTTTTTGTTGCTAAAAACAAAATGAATAATAAAATTAAGAAACACAAAGGCTTCATATTCTGCGACTTGATTAAGTAACTTATTGCACCGATAATTATACACTTACAATTTTAATTAAGTCTTTGTAGATATATAAGTAAAAGAGTTGCCACAACGGGCACCGTCAGGAACGAGTCATGAACATGTCCCTGACTGAGAGCGACTATCACTGGCGTCCTATGCCGAGGACTGAGAGGTCGAAGAAGTAATTGCTATTCCGGAAGGGAAGGCGGGCACAGCCAGTCGGCCGGTACCTGACCAGTTCACGTTCATGTTCAGGGTCGAATCACGAATAACTGTTATTGACCGTCATCAGGGCCACGACGAGAAATTATTATACCCATTACGCAGAGAGTTGTTTAGATATTGTCATCTGCATCTACATAAATTTTTGTATCAATAAAAATAATATCTTTCCATTTTTTTATTTGATATTAGCACATTAAATAGTTTATTAATTATTTTATAAGATAACTTACATAGAAAAGTAGTAACGTTACTTTTACTTTCAATTATCTCATTAATCTTTAGGTATATTCGTAAAAGAACGTTTTAAAACATTTGTGATAAGGAAAAGTTGATATTAAAATGTTTATATTACTTCTGTATACACACAAAATCTCTTCTTTTTTAAGAATTTTTAGTAGATTTTTTTAGATAGTATGTTCAGAAAGAATATATTAAAATATGAATGTATAATATATACCTTTTATGAATAAATTCTTAAAACAATGACTTTTGTTTAAATTTCATTAAAGCATTTTTACAATTTCGCAATGCGTCCTAACATATCATCATGCGAATGCATAATGAAATAAAAGAAAGTGCAGAAAGAGAAGGTTATACACAAGTACTCATTTTAATTTTATTATATGCGCATACGGATTTAGCGCATCATCTGGCACCGTTTGACAGGCACATTTCACGAAAAATTTATATTAATGAATATCTCGTTTGGAAGAAAAAAAGTAGTCTTATTAATATACTAATTAAATCTTGTTATTTTTATTTTTGATGAGAATTTATAATAAATTTTTCGCTGAGTGCTATCCTATTATTTCTTAGAACTAGTTTCGGTTGAAGGAGCAGGTTTAGCAACTTTGTCATCGTTATTATTAACCATCTATTTATATTTTTATGAAGAATATAAAAATTCAATTTTAGGAAGAATATAATATCATACATTTCGAGTTTTCTTTCTTTATTATTAATATTGTAAAATTATGTATATTGTCATATTGTTAATCATACTGATACAAAAATAATGTGTCTATTATATTCTAATTTTATTCTAATTTTAAGAATATACTAACATATGCATATGCGATTTATTTAGTGTCATATACAGGTACAATGTAATAATAAGTAAAAAATTAAATAACAATTATTTTAAAAAGTAAATTTTATAAAACACAATATAAATAAAATTTTTTTATTCATATATAATTTTAATTATTTTTATATAATAACAAAATATGCAACGATTATTTTAAATTCATTTTATATTTGTTAACACATTCTTAGTCTTTTGCAAGTTTATACATATTATTTTATAACACACATGCATACATACGTATTATGTACACGTAATAGGCAATATCAGTAATTTAGATTAACATAAATTACATTATCTTCTATTATGTACAAATTACTAGTTGCGCATACAAAGATACTATTGTACGTGAAGTGCATTTAGATGAGTCAACTTTAGCCCGATTTGACAGTGAACCGTTACTGGTTGCTAATTATTCCGGAAACGTTTGACCGCTATTCGTACGATTAAAGGTGATAAAAACGTGTGAAGCGAGCTAAGCATGTGCTCTAATCTTACTTAAATTAAATTTTCTACAAAAAAATATATCCTTTACATTTTATACACATATATAAGCAATATATATAAGCAATAATTAATAAATAATAATAATGGCCTCTATACAAGGAACTATATTTGATAAATCAGTATTTAATAAAAAATTGTACTCAGTTTCTCCAAATAAGTCATTTAAGAATAATAACATAAAACGTACTTATTACAGTGATTAATTACAATCGTTGCATGTGAAATTTTATGTACAAGTCGGAGGTGAAAGCAGGTCCTCAGGTGACACACAGACAGCCTTCCTTCATATTTGCATGGATCCATTTGAGATATCGGGTTACTCTCGTATAAACTCCGGGATAACCTGGTCTACCACATCCCACACCCCAAGATACTATACCTATTAGATACGTTTAACACATATATAAGTCCCATATGAACAAAAATGTTTCAATAGTAAGATCCCAATTAACAAAGAATGATGTTAAAAATGTTTTTAAAAACGTTTTTCAAATGTTTTTAAGAACATTTTTAAAAATAATGGGTTAAGTTATCTTTTTTTTAATTAAAGAGAAACGTTTATTTTAATGTTTAAAACAATATTTTTTAAAAAATATATTTGAAAAATGTTTATTTTAAAATTTAAAAAAACGCTTTTAAAACATTTTTAAAAACCGTTTAAGAAATATTTTTAAAAAAGTTTTTAGAAAACGATAAAAATAATGGGTTTAGTCATTCTTTTTTCAAAAAACTTTTTTAAAAAAACATTTAGTTTACTGTATAAAAGGACATTCCTTATATGTTTGAAAAACATTTGAAAAACGTAAAATATTTGTAAAAATATTTTAAAAAATTATCTGTTGAAAAATGCGAGACCTATAACAATTATATGTAACAAAATATTTCAATTTTCATCTGGGGCCTAATTTTAGGCTTGCTTTTAAAGTTATTTCATTAACATTTCATCATAACATGGATGAGAAATTTCATATTGTTGCACCTTCTATTCTATTTTGTGTGGTTTTTATTTACAAAAAACAGTGTCCATCTAATGGTGATGTCTGATATTACTTGCAAAATAATTAATGTTAAATAAACGTTTTTCTAAATTGTTATTACAAATAAATTATAAATGTAATATGAATATATTGAATAAACGTTACAAATGTTTTTTTAAATCATTATTATAGATGAATATTAAATAAACGTTTAATAAATATTTACAAATCATTATTTTGAATGAATAATTATTGTAAAATGTATATTTAAAAATCATTTAAAAATCCTTTTTTTTGTCTGACTGAGATAATTTCTGCGGATTTTTACATTTGCGTAAATATAAATAAAGCTGTCTGGAGATATTTACTTTATAACATACTTGCTTAAATAATGAAGGAACATTAATTATTTGACAGAAATACTTTTACGAAAAACTACATAGATCTTAAGACAAGATCTGAGAAATTCTCAGTTTTTCATAGACATTTGTAATGGGTCGTAAAATGGCATTTGTTTGAAAAATCGATAGATCCTTCATCTTTCAAATAATATCACTCTCAATGTAGTTTTTCTGTACTTTTTCGTAAAAATTTTTTTTCCTCTTGAAATAGTATTTGTCATCAAATACTATTAAAAATTATATATATTATTATAATAAAATATAAATATTTTACCTGCTATTTCAAGCTTGTCGGCTTCTTGAACAAGAAGAGGACCACCACTATCTCCTTGACAAGAATCCTGGTTACTTCGACCGGCGCATATCATATTTTCAGTAATTCGATTTGCTCGATATTTCATTTTTCGGCATTGCGTCAAGCTATATATAGGGACTTGCACCTCCTGTACCTTTCCAGGCAGCATGCCTCCTTCCGAAGTACGACCCCATCCTACTACCGTCCCTTCTTTTCCAGCAGGATCGGTTCCTGCATTAACATATTAAAAATACAATATTTAATATCTTAAAATAGATCACACATACATGATTGATTTAGTTCAATGTTACCTGGTTGAGGTAAACAGATTGGTCGAATCTTTTTCGAAAATTTCACAGACTTGCGTAATTTTAATAAAGCTACATCGTGATTGTAGGAGTTCATATCAAAATTTCTATGACGTACTACAGCACTCACTGCTCTCATAACAGGAGTTCCATCAGTATTTACGTATTGATCGTAATCGCCAAGTACTACTCGAATTTTCGATCGTTTTAAACTTAAAAAGAAAAATAAAAACATTAATTTAATCGCAATAATATATATTAAATAGAATTAAAATATAAATAAAGCACACACTTATACTTTTTTTTAATATTAAAAATTATGTTAGAATTTCTGCGAGATACCGTTTCAATAACGTTCATAATAATTATGACATAAGATTATTCTTAATAATTTTGTGATACTATTTACTTTATTGCATTTATATTATTGTTATTATTTACGTTTTGGTTGTATTTATTTATAAACTTATTGGATAAAGACATACTTCCGTACACAATGAGCAGCGGTAATTACATAATCGTTGTTGAGTAGACTAGCACCACAGTGGAAACGACCATCATATACTAGCCTCGCAATCCAGGGATATCTATTCGGTAATGTAGGACGTCCTCCCACTATTCGATTCTCTTGATTAGATAAACCGCATTCTGAAATCAATATTGAAATTTAAATGCTTTTAATGTTTAAAAATATTAAATTTGAACAAACAAATTATTTATTACTTCTATAGCAAAATAAGTATAATAAAAATATATACAGATAACATACGTAATAACTTAATCGTAAATATATATGTATATTAACAAATTTTAATATTTTTAATTTTTTTAAAAAGATTTAATAAAGTAATTATGACTCGGGACAAATTTAATTTGTGAAAGACATTATTACCACACGTGCAGTTTCTTAGCCTTTCTTCGTCTGTTTCAGTATTCTCAATAATATCAATACCAAATATTTCATCGAATAAAAATTTTCGAGTACGAATTCGAGAATTATTCAAAGAAATTTCCTGAAAGAAATGTATAATTAACTGATGTCATTCAAGTACGCGCTCACTTTCTATTGCAAATACGACATAAACGATGAGAGAAAGTAAATCATGATCAGAATAATGGGTCAAGGCCTAAGCTGTCAAATCATCTTCAACACTAAATATCTATAAACGTAAGCATTGCATGCATGTGATATTTACATAAATCTTTTAACTGATCTTTTGACTGATTACAATCATTATCTAAATTCTAAAAAACATCTATCTGTTTGGATTAAATAATATAGCGTGATATGTTAAGTCATGTCAAGGAATAAGAAGTTAAATGAAAGCATTAAATTCTTAAATTAAAACAGCATGATTTAGAATAATTTATAAATTATTATTAATTTCTATATAGCATAGATCTTCAAGGGACTTTCTAAAGACATTCATAAGAAGACTCTATGGCTTTTAAACATCTTAAGAACGTTCCTAAAACGTTTTTTGGATATTGTATGGATTATAAT